GCAAAATTTGGCAATCTACATATGAAAGGATGAGAGGAGGAGAATTATATTCCAATGGTTTTTTATGTAAATGATTTAAACCATAGAATGAGGGCACATTCTTAACTTATCATAATCTGAAACTGTTTTCCCTGTCTAGCTATAGACAATGAACAAGGAAAAAGTAGCATTGTTTATTCGCTTGAAATATGTAACTATTCAGACAAGATCATATTATTTTTTAATCATTTCAATATTTGTTGGTCTCATGTCTGAAGATAAGTTTGGCTACTAAAGATAATGTTTGCATTTCTAAAAACTTGTGTCACAACCCTTTCCAAATCTGCCAACAGATTAAAAATTGTAAGACTAATTCATACTTGAATAATCAAATTATCTAATTTGGCGATGTTAGTAAATGGACAGGTAAATACACAAAAATTATACATTTATGCTACTGCTTGGAACATAGAACCAGGACAGAAAGAATGCCTAGGAATAAGCTAGTTAAATCAGCTAAATTGAAAGATTATAAATGTTATTCAACTAAACTTAAGTGAAAGGGATATTATAAAGAGGTAAAACTTGTAAGTTCGTATATTTGTAAGTTTGTATGTAGGGAGTAATCTTTGGAACCGCTGGTCGGATTGCCAAAATTCTTTCACTGATAGATAGCAACAATGTTCCTGAGCGCTACAGGCTATAAAAAAACACGCTATAATCAAATGGAGCTGAGCAACGGGTAAAACCAAATGAGAGTAGCTAGTACAATATACAAAAAGCAAAGAAAGTATGTTGGTTGTTATTAAATTGTTAAACATGTTTTCAGTTGGAAAGTATACTAAATTTTAGTGACTAAAATAACAGGTACCTACTGCACAGAGACAAATAAATCAAGTTATGCAACAAAACATTCTGAGGAAAGGTCTCAAATATTTTTTTTCAATAACAAAATATTAATGTAGGTTGTATTTATTCTACTCAATGGAGATGTAAATTTAGACAGCTTAAATGTATGTATTTGAATGTTTATTTGGTACTACTTTTTGCAACAGCTACACCCACAGAATGAGGGGGAAAAAGTAGATTATGTGTTATAGACCATAATCTACCTGTGCCAAATTTAATTCAGATATGTTCAGTGGTTTTTATGAGATATTGATTAGATTTAGGACTATAGTTAAAAATCAATACTTAGTATTACCTAGTAGTAACTTAGTACCTACCAGTCTAACAATGTCCTATCACAGAGCCATAAATTCAATTCATCAAACCGTGTTTGCACACCTATTGTTATTCTATTGTATCTCGAAATACCAAGATTAAAAGTTTAACAGACTTATATTTTGACTACTTTTGTATATAAATTACATCAAATGAATTAAATTATCTATCAGTTAGACTTAAACAAACATAACAGATAATTAAAGCAAAGCATATTTACCATTATTAAAAGTAAAAATACAAATACTCTCTATTCTTAGATGTTATTAAGAATATCCCTATTGTAATAAACCAGACACAAGATCTATTATTGAAACAATTTCTTAATAGATCAAACATTTGTATCCATCACAAAACTACAAGAATCTTTTTAACTGACCTTCTTTGATAATCTGTCATTCTGCCAATGATACCTTTGTTAGCACCTTTAAAAATCAATAGAAAAATCTATGGATTATCAAGAAAAACATTGTCTAATGTTTTCTACTAATGTATACCTACTAAGATGGCCGATCACAAATTCATAATTAATGCTTTATTATGGGTACAAGCACAAAGGTTATCATACAGATGATGATTCTGCACAACTTCAATTTGTAGGTTATTTTCATATTATGTTGACAAAATTTGTTTGCAATTCATGTATTTCTATACAATGTTGTTACAAATTCATATTGAACACAAGAGCTATGACCTCTAGTCGTTTTTTCCAACTATAAATGTTAATATCTCTATCTCTTTCCCACACAGCTGTTCAAACCCAAGTAAAGAAAGACATTCAATTTGAAATTAAAATGTTCCCATGATACATTCGAGGGTAGCATAGTAACATAGAAAAACTACACGTTAAATAGAATCTGCGTAAAAACAGATTTATTTAACAACAATTGTTGATAACGTTTTAAGATTTACCGATTAGTTTCCAATTTTTTTACTACATACGTAAGGCACAAATACGCTTACCTGAATTTAACTTCATTGAAATAACGTGTATTCTTGACTACGAACAATTCTTCAGACGTTAAGCAACGCCTCTAAATACTGATACAACGAAATTATTCTATGTCTTCGCTAAATACACAACGGCGATGAAATGTAATCATCTGTTCTCGCAAACATTTCTTGTCGCCCGCATTTTTATGTAACAGCTACGTTTTTTGTTCGAAAACAGACGCCGAAAGACCGTTGCGAGAACTTCCCCACATCTACATCTCTAGCAATAGTGAATTCAGAGAGCAAAAGGTTAAAACTATCGGCGTAAGTAATGATAACCAAACATTAATCCAAACAAGCTATCGTCACAGGATGTAAACACTAAATACTAAAAACCAAACTAATGACAATAACATTGCATTTACCGTCGGAGTTCGAACGATAAAACATCTTCAACTTATTGCGATTCCCAAATCCGATTTCGCCCTTGACTAGCGGGCGCAAAAAGTCACCACTTACCGGCCATGACAAAGCCCAGCACAAAAACTTTAAGAAGTTCAATAGTTTTAGTACACAATCACTTGAATGTTTTGCTAAAACATCACACAAATATCCCGATTAAAACGGATTAAAATCATTTCAACATTACATCGGTAAAAAGTAATGGCGCTGAGAAATACATACAAATAATTACTGCAGAATTTAGTGTTGCCATACTAGCCTTCACTAAATCTACTAATAGAGTCTGCAAATAATCAAGTCACGTCACAAGTCGTATTTTGCGGCGGTTATTATTGCTTTATAAACAAATAGTCTTGAGTGAAATTACTAATACACTAAATGACGTCATTTTATTCCGCACTCAAGAGACAAATAAGTCATTAAAAAGATTCACACGTTTTTTTTTATTTGATTTTATTTTTACAATACTTGTTTCATTTAAACTGTTTACTTTGGAACATTCATATTTTTAAGTACATATTAATTGAATCCAAGATGGGCGTAACTGTACAAAAGAAAAAAATTAAAATTTAATTTTTGAATGTAGTGAAATAAAAAAAAATCTAAAACCTATTCTTCGTATTAAATAAATACAAAAATTAAGGATAAAAAAGAAATTCTGAATTGTGACAATTTACGATATATCTAACATTGCGGTAGAATTTTGCGAAAGTAGCAACACCTTTATTCTAAATGTCAAAATGGACGTTAGGGAAAAAAACAGTCATGAAAAAGCGCGCATTTCATACGCCTACTGTGCTGCCATCTGTTAGAAAGAAATTGGACTAAACACTGTTTCACCGACGCTTTTGACTACTCATTAGAGGAGATTTCGCTATTATTTGTGTTTTTCTTTTATAAAATAATATTTCTGGGCAAATTCATAGCAATAGACGTCATAAAAATAATTTTAACAGATGGAAAAAAACATTAATGATTATAGTTGAAGATGTTCTTGGTGTATCCGTTTTCCGGTTTTGAAATCTTGAAATAACGATTGCCAAACGAGAATGTCAATGCCAGTTTTAGAAATATTTTGGAATCTGTTTGCGGGAACAATTGATTTATCGTTAACATTATTAAGTCCCATTAAAAATGAGCGTGGAAGTAACTCTGTTTGATCCGGTAAGAAACGTTTTAAGAAATTTACAAAGTACGTGATAGATCAGCCGTTTAATGGCGAGACAAAAAATATTTTTGTAATTAGTATATTTTCGACGAGGCATTATATACATATTATCATGATTTCGCTTCAACATTATTCTCTTTGTTACTACCAACATTTCTTTGTATATAATTATATATTGTAACCGGCCGACTTCGACAAATCAGCTGGCTGTAAAAAAATGCACACCTTTGCATCGTCAACGATTTATACAACGGGAAGGGACAGGTGATCCGACATCTATGGTACTTACGCGCACTTTTTGTATGGCGACCCGAGTCGCGACGGGATAGTGGATTCATCTACCTGAACAGATGTTAAAACCCCATATTGAGACTTATTAGAAAATATGTTTAAAAAAACAGTGCTGTAACTTGTTGTATTTTTCTAAGAAAGTAATTAAATGCACTAGTATTCTCCTTTCGACGTATTTGACTCGTACCTATAAGGATTGTACCTACCTCACATTTCTTTGAAGTGTTCTTAGATTCCGTACTTAGGTAGGTAGGTATTTACTAATTTAATGTACCTAGGTACCTATGTAGTATTTTAACACAACTGCAAACGCTTTAAAGTAGGCTTGTAAGTAGTGAAGAATAATGGTTTTATAAGAATATACGGTAATAAGAATTGGCGTTTCTTCACTCTCAATGCTCTTTGTATTTATTGTATGACTGCTCGGATCTCCAATAGATGGCGTTTCTTGTCTTTACGTCCGTTGATGTTAGGTAAATATGTAGATACCTTCCTACGCCATTACCTTATCGTTAGTCATAATATAATCATTATTTGTTTAGGTTTTTCTTATACTTACCTACTTTTTAAGTTATAGCAAATTGGTTTCACATTTTAATTTTTAGGATACTTAGGTTTTTTTTGTGAGGGGAAAATCATCAAATGGCTTTTCCCGCTCAGGGTCGGGCGGGAGGGAGTGTCAGACTCTTACTGACTAAAAACCCCCTGTTCCATCTCCTGCTCTGGGCCGAGGTCGCGATGCCTTATTGCGCTTACCCCGCAACCCCGGCTGAACATCAGTCCTATAGGGCCAGGTCTGTGGTGGTCTATTGGCTCTTTGAGCTCTTACTCGCCGACTGCAGACCCGCGCTTACGGTGGGCGGAGATCATCTCTCGAGGATACTTAGGTACCAATACGTTTATTACTGTTATATACGAAACTTATTTATTAGGTACCACTTACCATTTTTATTCCCGTGGTCAAAAATTATGCTTAATTTTTGAAGGCTATTCTGGCGGGCCTCTGCGAACAAGCGACGCTTGTTCTTGGGTGATGGTTGTGTTGCTAAAGGTGATACTACCATCGTGGTGGTCGCCATCATTTTCTTAAACCACCATTACTGATTATCTGAAAAAAAATGGTCAGATTAGTGTGGTGCTAAAATAGCAATTATGTTTTCTTCTGGTCTGCAGATGAGTCTTTAATGGCCATACCGAAGACTTTTTTGAGGCGTAATATCAAATGTTCTCGCTTTGGGTAGAGCGAGAGGTAGGTAATGTCAGACTTACTGACTTAAAACCATTCCGTTCCTCCTCCTGCTCCTGTTCCTCTACCAGGCTCATGTTACATTATTGCGCCTGACCCGCAACCCCGGCTGAACATCAGGCCAAATAAGAGATTTTGCCCAAAATCTGCACGTGTACTGGATTAAAATTAGCAATTTAAAACGCTTAAGTTTATATACCATAGAAGCTGGTGCCTAAATCAGTCAATATGGCAAAATAATATACCGTTTATTAGTAAGTAATTTGATATAACATTTTGAAAATTTCCTCCAAGTTTACGAATTTTAGGAATTTGAGCTATTGGTTTACTATTTCGTTTGTTAAAAATACTTATTTGGGCTTGTTTAATTAGTTTAAGGGTCTTGCTAGGTATCAAATAATACATAATGCTAATAAAAATTGATGATCGCCTAACACCACATGAAGATTATTACGTTTAACAGCTCATCCTTTTTTGAGTAAGGATAATGATGAAATAACTCCTCTCGACTGGGATTGTCTGACTGTTATTGACTAAAAACCACCCCGGTGCTTTATCCACTCCCGGTCAGCGCCGTAGTACATTATTAGGCTTGAACATTACTTACTACTCGTATATTTATTTGACAAGAGCTTGACTAATTTCAAGCCTTACTGTGACTTTGGTGTGGATGGATGGAGAGGGAGAGGAAGACCAAAGAAAATATGGATGGATTGTGTGGGAAATGATATGGAAGACAGAGAGTCAGTGATTGACGGGTGACAGGACAGAATGGAAGAAAAAAACATATTGCGTCGACCCCAAATAAAACGGGACAAGGGCAGTAAGATGATGACTGTGACTTTATAGTCGTGATCAGTACCAAATGCTGTTACGTCACTTAGCCGTTAAACATAAGAATTAGTCTAATTAGTCTTAAAAACACTTGGTCTCATAGTAAGATCAATGACTGGGAATGATGAGAGAACGGACTATAATGACAATGATATAATGGTCCACTAAAATTCAATGACCTTCCAAAAACATTATAATTAGTAGGTACTTAGCTGTTGATGGAAGCGAGCTCAAACTGGCTAGATGCTCTCGATTCTTGATTAAATGGCTTATTTTTGAGGATGGGGCTTATGTGCAAAACTCTGTATCCTAGCCAAGGTGGATGTAATCTGTCCAACGTCTTTTCACACAATTTCAATAAATCTTGTTATAAAATTTCTGAGGAATTATGGTAAAATTTTGGAGGTAGTTTCACCAACCAATAATCGTTCTCGAGAAATATTATATCATATTAGTTTAACAAATAAGTCTATTTCCCATTCGTTTACCTATTTGAAAATCTACCAAAACATCGACTATTTATTTGGATAAGCATGCTTCGTTGTAATCTAGACAGTATAATTTTCGAAGGCGCCAATACTGAATGGAAAATTTTCAGCAAATAACTTAACGTGTGGATATTTATTATAAGCAAACGATTATCTGTATGATAATAAGGATGCCAAACAATATGGAGCACGGAAAATAATATTTTGTTCAGTACTCTTTACAGTTCAATAATTGCGAAAATCAATAAACGTGATGGTTATATTAAATATCCATTAAATGTTGATTTGTAGACTTAGGAAAGAGCCCTAACTGATGATGATGATGAAGTATTTTGGACCTTATCCGAAACACTCATGGAATCGTATCTACACCAACATAAAGAAATAAGAAGGAATCTGTCTATTGAAAACCGATTTGGAAAAATATTAGTCCGATTTGGAAAAACCACAGCATATTTTATTTTGAAATAGAAAATTTCAGGATAATTAAGTGAACTGTTCTAAATTCTGCGGAGTCAGAAAGTAGGTACCTACCTAACGAAGTTACTAAAATAAAAATATTGATAATTATATATTATATTATATAAAAATATATTTTTCAAAGTACCGACAGTAATTTACCTACTTTTCAAAGTATAAAAACCTACTTAACTTAATGCGAAGGTATATTTTCCTATTACATTTTAAGACACGCTCGTCGCTTGTCATTTTGCATTGAAATCGCCAAGGTAATTTACAAATTAAATACGTCTTATTTTCTTAAAGCCTCGCCAGGTCCAAGTAATTGTAAAATGTTTTTCACATTCATATTCGTTAAAATTGTAAACACAAATGGTGTTGTTTTATAAGAGCAATTAAAAATGAGCGAGAAACAACTAGGCATTTGTAAGATTTCCCTCTTGTCTCAATTCAATTAGCTAATTCTTATTGTTAAAGACATTAAATGACCTAAAAATACTTATACCGGCAGACGAAACACATACCTATGTTCAAAAGGAGTAAAACGTTGCGCATTCGCATGTTTAAAACAATTAAGTCGAGACAGAATTTGGCACTGCTCTAGACGATAATACTGGCGCAGATAATGCCAAAAAATGAGCAAATAATAAAGCATTTAAAATGTTCACTAACCAACAATATTTACGAGAGAAAGACATTTTGGAAGCAAACCATCTCGATATTAATATACTCCGTGCGTTGCCTAAATATTTCACCGTCAATTTATAGTTCATTTTAAGATTTGATTTTTTTACAATCGCATCTAACAATATAAATCATGTTTATACAAATTCCAGGGAGACCATTCTACGTAGAGCAGTGTTATTTATCGATGACTTTATTTTGTCTTCTTGTTATACAGATTGTGATTTAGCAGAAGTTTCTAAATTAAATAAATACTACGGAAGACGTTAAATTTAGTACTAGGAAGGAGAAAATTCACTCTGCATTCGCATTGCGCAGATGATATTGCTTATGGCTTTTTTGGAAAGTATGTCGTCAATTTTTTATGTTTTTTTGCCTAGATAGAAACAAAAAATCACCCTCAAAAGGGAATTATCGAATATGATGTAGACGTTTAGAAGTAACGTGTGTAGAAATATTTCGGCATTTTTTTTATAAGTACACGTCTTCAGCTGGGGTTGAGAGTTCAGCGCAATAAGGTATCGCGGCATCGCTATGGAGTAGAAGAAGGAACAGAGTGGGTTTTAGTCAGTCTGGTAAGAGTCTGACTCTCCCTGTCGCCTCACACTGGGCGAGAGAAGTCATTCGATGATTAACCGCCTCCAAAAAGCCTATACTTCTTTCCTTCTCTTGGGTGATATACGCGAATATAACAGGAACAGGAATATGTTAGTAATTCATTAACATATTGTATACTGTTGACGTTGACACACGTGTTACTTGTGTGATTTCCCACAGGACGATTTAACGATGGATTATTGTCGGGTTCGCACGCAACTAACGAGCGGATTCTAGTGTATATACAATTCACAAGTGGACTGATAGACTCGTTATTGCTTTTCGTGAAAACAACTCGTGTTTTGATGGCTTTATTGTTTTTATTTGAAACGTGTGTTGGACTTTACCCTTGGGTTTTGGTTGAGTTATATAGGATTTTTAGATTTATTTGCTCAACCAGATTTTTGAAGAAGTTACGTACTTTCAAATGGAAGCACGCTATGCACGTTAGGTATGCATCCTAATGGGGACTAAATTATCGATATAATAAGATCAAGGTCAATCTGGAAATCTCATTGTCACAATCGAAATACCGAACTTATAAATACTTAAAGATATAAATCTAGATTACGAGATTCAGGGATATGAACTTGAATGAAAACTGTAAGATGAATAAAACGAATGAATGATCACCAAGACCAGATTAAGATGTTGACGTAGCAAACAGTTAACCAGAGCAAGGTTAGCTGAAGACAAGATAATAATCACGAGAATGAAAGCACACAACGGATTTTTGGCCCAAATTCAAGGAAAATATGTATTCGTATTAATGAGTGACTAATTCCCACACGTTTTGCTTCAGAGAAGTGGTAAATCAGTGAATAAACGCGTAATTGAGTGTGTCATCTTGTGCCACTGCAGTTAAGTCAATTGCATTGATTGTAGGATGAGTATTGACCAGGAATGGATGTCACTGACGTCATTTATAAAATATTGTGCTCATCTTTGGCCGGGCTCTTCAGTACCAGTCTCTCCTTCAGGACCGTCCTTCATCCAGGGGCTAGCTGTTCGAGTCGTTTGACTACCCTGGTTGGCTTTTGGGCATTCTGAATAGCCAACCAAAATGAAATAGACAAAGACTTTAGCTTTTATGTAATTTAACAGTACAATATTGATAATGTATTTCGAAGTTTAATTTATTTTGATTCGCGTCCCTGGGACGCGCTTAACTTCAGTGTCTTGGTGTTTTCGTCGTTATATCAGTAGACAATTAGACATACCGTAGTAGATCCTGGTTTACAGCAGTTGCGGCAGTTTTAGGAAATTGTGGCTAGCATTCCCCAAAAAAGATACCAATAATACCTAAATGTTGAATCACTGATAAGGTAACTAACAAGTTCTTGAGTAAATCTGTTACTGATAGCAGTGATAGCTCATTCATACTAGGAATTTCCAGGGTTGTGGGGTAAGCGCAATGAGGCACCGCGACTTCGGCCCAGAGCAGGAGAAGGAACAGGAGGTTTTTAGTCAGTAAGTCTGGCACTCCCTCTTGCCCGACTTCCGGCGGGAGAATTAATTAAATTATTTTCCCCTAACAAAAAAAACTAGGAATTTGCGGATATGTTATTGTTAAAAAACCGAAAAATAAATGCCTTTCCATATTTAGCCTCAATTCGTTCTGAACTACTCATCCATAATGTTTTACGGTAATCCTTAATTCAATGAATATATCATAGGCTTCGTAATCCAAGCTAACTTAGGCTCCATCACAATTGCCTATTATATCGCTAACATCCTATCTAAGTAAATTTGCATTTGTAGAACTTTGGTCTTTGGAAACTCCTTTGGGTATTGTGTTCA